CTTCCCGTATTTGTCTTAATTTTCTTCTCTCCTTCTTCTATCCAGATTTTTTTTTTAACAACAATTACCTCTCTTAACAACAATTAAAATATGCTGCTCCCTAGAAGACTGGCCAATGGAAGGAAGCGCCTTTCTCCACATGATGCTCTAAAATACACTGGAGTCCTGTGCCTCCGGATTCCTAGCCCCAGGGGTTTGCCCATGGGACACGCTGACATGTGTGGGAGCACCCAGGAGAGGACGACTTGGCTTCACTGCCTGCTCTGTGACCTCAGGCCAGGAATTCACCTCTCTGAGCTGCATTTCTTCATTCAAAATGTCAAGGGGGTGGAGAAAGCATCCACCAAGGCAATCATTTTTGGATAATTCAGATAGTCCAACGGAAACCATATTTGCCAGCCAGAGAGCAGGGCCTGTGTCTTGTCATTCCTGTCCCCTCCCTAGGCCCCAAAGCTCTCCACCTTGGAGCACAGTGGGGAGCATTAAGCCCAGAGCCCAAGTGGAAGGTTAGGCTTCTCAGCTCGGAGCCGGAATGCTGTGACTCAGCCTCCTGACAGTGGGCATCTCAGACTAACAATCATAAGTCAGAGAGTCAGTAATGTATTTGTAATTAACAAATATTTTAAATGGAACATTTATAATTAGTTTGTGTGAATTTTTTAAAAATACATTCAAACAAGTGGCCTATAAAAGAAAATAGCAAAGGGCGGATAATGAGTTTGAGTTACTGGGTCAGTTCATCTTAACATCCCTTCCAGTTCTAAATCTCAAGATTTCTACTTAATACAGCCCAGCATGAATATGCAAACTGGCTTTGTTAATTTAAACATCTCATAGTAGATATTGATATAACATTTCTTTTAAAAGTTGACTGCGTAATGCCCTTGTAACAAAATGATTTTAGAGTACAGAATGCCTCATTTCAAGGAATAATTTCACCTCAATAGACTCACACCTGAGCATAGAAAAAAATAAAATTCTAAATTTACATCTACTTCAGATATTACAGTCACGATTTTTTTAAATTATGGATTGAAGCCATCTCTAGATGGGCCCTAAAGTTACCCACGAGCTCTGTTGCGATGCTTCCCAACCCACTCCCTGCAGACCGGAAGCCCCACCCTGAGAGACTCCAGCACCACTTGGAGAATTTTCTAGAGCTCGGAGTGATACACCGCCCTCTAGAGGACAGAAAGCCAGACTGCATTTTCAGGAACAGTGTTCTAATTCAAAATTTCATCTCCTTCCCTAAGTAGACCTATGAGATCAGTGGGTCTTAAGAGAGAATCAACATAATGAATTTCTGAAGAGAACTCCTCTTCATAAATCAGGATGCTGTGGGTGCTCCCTGAGTGTGAGACGGCCGCTCCCCATGGTTTAGAGGGTTCAGGCAGCGTCTTTTAGGTAAAGACAGGGATTATCTCCCAGAATTTCTACACTGGAAAGAGAGAAACCGTAGCTAACAGTGGGGGGTGAAGACAGTGGCCCCGACTAGCTGGAAGCTGTCCGAATTAGCGGGGACTTTTTAGGCTTCCTGCTTTAAAAATTGAAGCATTTGGGGGTTTCAGTTCCTTAGCCAGAGCTACTAATATATATATTTTTTAGTGTCCGGTAGCTCCTCACGTCATCCAATGTTTCTGAGGCAGTGGTGTGTTTTTACTGCCTGCTTTCCACAGCTAAGAGACCATGAAAAGTCTGCTCCCAGAGGTCTCTGTGAGAAAGCTGCCTGATATACAACGTCCCATTCAGAGTGGGACGTGTCATTCAAGGTCCGATCCTTCTCCGAGAGATAACAAATCCTCAGGTTCTTCCAAAAAGAGCAAACTTTCAAATAAGACTTTTGGCTAAAGTTATTTACAACATGCCTGCAAGACAGTCACATGCTACAAAATTCATGACTTGCCGGTGAATTTTAAATCCTAAATGTGGAATTTCACATAAAAGTGGGTGGTGACACAGACTCCTAGCAAGGACCACACTGTATTTGGTTGTCTAAACACCGAGCAAGGAGACATAGGAAGCCCCGATGGCAAAATCTCTCTACCAACTTCCAAAGGGAAAGGAGGGCTGGTTTCGAGCTGGCTTTGAGCAGTGGGGTCTGCAGCCTCCTAACCCAGCACTAAGGTAAGACGGGGAGCCTTATTTCAGCCACACATCGGTCACGGACCATTCCATTGACTAGAGGAGTTTCTTCCTGCTTTATCATCAGTGATGTATTCGGTTCTAAGCTACATAATCACAAAAGGCACCATGACGACAGAACGAAGCACAGTGAATCCTAAACATGTTAGAAATCAAAGGAGGTACAGAAAACAAGACAGTTCCTATTCAGAAAGATGTTTATCGTCTATCACATATGTCCTTAAGATCCAAGTTTGAACATTCAGCACAAACACCATCGCCTGAGGGCCACAAGCATGACACGGTGAGGCACACACCTTCCCAAGTGCTGCGAGAGCCGGGACCAAGGGCGAACATTCCAGAGGCTTCCCCAGCCACCTCCCAGGATGGTGGAGTGGCCACACCCTCCAATTCCCCAATTGGAAAAAGGCAGCACAGCCACACTTCGCCACCCTGCTGTGATATCCCTTCCCAAGTCCTCTTCTCCACCCAATGCCCTCTTAATGGTTTTCCCACTGCCATGAGTAGGGAAAGGAAAAACTAAACCCATGGGAATGAAAAGCCCTTTTCTCAGCAAGCAAGACACCAAGACCACATGACCACTCTTGCATTCTGAATTCCTACAAAAGCTCCTCACCTCCCCAGCTTTATACCTTCACCCTCAGCAATGAGCCCACACAAGCACGAAGCAAAATGCAGGTCCCAACTTTCTGGGCCCCATCCCTAGGGGTGGCCTGAACAAAGAACGCTGCTCAGGTAATCTGCCCATAGAGCTGATGTCCATGCCTGCGGGTCAGCTGGCTTGTCCAGCACTTCTTTCTCTGCTCCCTGGTAGGGCCTTAGGGAGCACAAAATTTTCCCACTACTTTTAGTAGAATCTGACGGGGAGGACGTTATCTTCTGGGGGAACAAATCAAATAGCACATTCCAAATCCAGAGGTAAATTAGTTGCTAGGCCACCTGCTTTCCTGAAATGGTAAAGATTTCCTTGCCATCTCAGCCACCTGCTGACTCTGTAGCCTCCGCAAGTAATTTAGCACCTCAGATCCCCAATTCTGCACCTTTAAAACTAGGGAACCACGCCTCGGTGGTTGCCAACCAAGAACCTCATCCATCACCGTTGGCCCAGCTCAGAACTCAGAGACTCCAACAACGTCCAACAGCCAATCAGCTCTCACTACAGCTTTAGTTAGAAACAAAGAATACTTGATTTTAAAGCCATTTCTGTTCAGGTTTTTGAAGTGTTAAGAAAGGGTCCCCTGGGAGGTTGGGGGATCCCCAGTTGAGAATAATCTATCTACATGAGCTCTGCACACACTGGCAGCTCTAAGGTCCTACAGGTCTCCGGCGGTCGTAGCTGTGTGCAGGCCAAGAAGCTGGCTGGAACGGGTCCACACCCCTGCATCCCCTCTGGGCGCGGGACACTCCCCTTCACTCAGAGCAGTCTGTCCTTGGGGTCCAGACCAGCTCTAAATGTGTACCTTGGGCTGATTTTCTTATACTCCCCAATACTCCCCTAGGCCCTCCCCAGGACCCCACCCCTACCCACTTCAGCCCCAGTTGGTTTCCTAACACAGTAAGCCCTTGAAACAGGTCCCCAGAGCAGGCTGGCAGCTGTCAGGGAACGCTTTCCATCCTGGGCGAGAGGACCGGGCCCCACCCTCCCGGCCAGGGAACAGGCCTTGGGCCTCCCAGCTTGGCACCCGCACCACATCTGGGCAGCGCAGGCCGGCCCGTGGCCCCAGGAGCCCTGCCTTATCCACTGGGCGTGCTGCCCAGCCCCAGCGCCTTCCCCTCCTCTGACCCCTGCAGCTCCTTTAAGCCACCTCAGAGGACAAAGGCTTCAACAGTGACTCCAGGTTCCTAAAAAGATGAAGCCCCAGTGGTAATGGCTGAGGAACTCGACTTGGCCCTGAGCCAGGCACCAGAGTCCTCCCAGTCCCCCGAAGGTCACAGATGTGCTTCACCAGCCCCGGCCCAGGCCAGGTCCACTGAGGCAGAACACCCGCCTGACGCACCTGGGAGATCTCCGGTGGCGTCTCCCCAAAGTACTGCCCAACAGGTAGCTCCCTGGATCCTTGCAAAGACTCTTCTGCTAACAAAGCAGATTCCAGCGGGGTTTTAGGAGGAGCAGACAGAGTCCAAGAGGGGTGAGCGGAGAAGGCTGCTTCCGAGCGCGCGGGCGAGCGTGGAACGCCGCGGAGCTCCACAGCTGCAGCCCGGGGCCACACGGCCTCGACCCGCTACGCAAACCCAGTCGCCACACACTGAGAGGGAAAACCAGATGAACCTCCCAGAGGCTAGCAACTTGTAAAGAAAACTGTCACCACGTGAACCTGAGAGCCACCTAGGAACGGTCACCGGGCTGAAAGCATGCCCTTCCTGTCCACAGCCTTGGGGAAAGAGAGGGGAGCTGGCACTCACCCTGAGCAAGCCTGAAGAGGTGTGTGTCCCTGGGCTTCGATATTCAGTTACGCTCCACCTGATGCATGTTTTCCCCGCTCACAGCGTCTCCTTTTTCTGCAGCAGAGGGGACCCGGCAGAGGAGCTAAACCCCTCTTGCAGTCCCTGCAGGAGGCTGGAGCACAGGAGAACTGAGCGGCCCTGGGTGGAATATTGAGCTCCAAACTGGACCGTGTCCAGGGTACAGTCAGGGCTTCCTCGGCTCCTCCCCCTCCGCCTCCCCTCCTCCAGACCCCTCCCCACCGCCGGCCTGCCCCAAACTGTAAATGAAAACCAGACTCTCTGTGCTCTGTGGCTCCAACCCCCGCCGCGGGCTGATGTCACTCTCTGAATGCTGTCTTCACCCTGCAAGCGTTTCGCTGGACCTCCTGCAAACCCCACCTCTTGAAAAAAAAAAATTCACTTCTACTCGTCACCTTTTGGGCTGGGCCCTCGGTGGCAAAGAGAATGAATTTTGGAATTTTTTTCGTGGGTATCCATGGTTTTCCTGCTGTGTGTTCCAACACCATCAGAAAGGGAAACAGGAAATGCAGTCGCCCCCCTCCACCCTCACCACGCCCTCCTGTTTCTTGAAGTTTCTGAATTGAGACTTCTCCTAATAACCTCCCCTTTCAAACATAAAAACCAGCAATTAAAGTCGCCTGGGCTTTCTGCTCACCAAAGTTCTGTTTGCCGGTGAGAAGGCAGGAACAGCAGCCCTTGTGGTCTTTCCTGCAGTTCTGTCTGTAACGATGCTGACCGAGAGGCTAAGGACCCCAGGCGAGGACGCATACCGGGTAAGAGAACTACTGCCCTGGTCAGAGTTTCAAGAAAATTCTTAAGAAGAACTTGTGTTTCTAACAAGGCTTTGCGTGTTCCACACACTTGGATATATGTCGTCTCTTTGATCACGAACCTCACCCCAAGCTCTCCCACACAGAGACATGTCATTTTTTGGTTAGGTGAGATTATGGTCCCATTTTACAGCTGAGACAAACCTTGGTTCATAGCAAAGCCCAGAGCTGAACCCTGGCCTTGGACACCCCCAAACTTCTCACTGTTCTCCTGTCACATGGCCCCTGCAAAGAGTCAGCTCCTGTGAAATATCAAGAGACAGCTAAAGGGCGCTTTCGGCCTTGAAGGCTTTCCAAAGCCAAGTTTAGAGAGTAAAGACATCATTAATTCCTTTCCATGGCGTATCCTTCACGTTTAGGGGCGAAGGGGAGACAGTACACGCGACATCATGCCTGCTCCGTCCTGCAGCCCCAGGGCCTCCAGACTCGCCCTCCTCTGCAACCTAGGGTTCAGCTCATAGAATGTGGGGTTAGGGGACAAGGATAGAGACCTGCATTGTGACATGTCCCTGCTCGTCACCTGTAGATGAAGAAGAAATGAGCAGTCTGAGTAGGAACCACATTGCCCATGTGACATGTGGAAAGGCCCACATTCAAAATAGCTAAGACATTCGTTGGTGTTCGGAGAATAAGATTTGAAGAAAAACAGAAACAAACCCATTCGATCAAGAACCATACTCTGTCATATTTAACTGTTGCTAATCGCTGATGATCTAGACCCTGTCCAACACTGCCTGTGGCTCCAGAAATTTCTGGGGGCTGGTGGCAGTGGGTGGCAAGCCTCTAGCGTCTTCCTCTGTGTTCACTAGCGAGGGCAATTTGGCTCCTATGGGTTCTTCATGTACTACTGAGACTGGGGATTCTCACTGAAATGTCCAGTTCCTCTGTGCCCCCTGATCCCAGGAAGAAACCACGCCAAATGTCAGCACTGACCTAAACATTGAGGGTCCTGGGTTGGGGCCTGGCCACCCGAGGGTCCTCAGAAGCCACAGAGTCTCTCGAGTCGGTTTCCCCTTGGGTGTTGGTTTGAACTGGCCCTGGCCCCTCCTCCATGTCCTTCTGCACAGCCCGTTACACACCTGTGTCCCAGGCTCCTTGCAGTGGGGACTCCAAAGGAGGTCAGCTTTCTCTCCGATGCACTGCTGTCACGTGGGGAAGGTGGACACAGCCTCCCGCTACTTTGGCTGGACTTTTTGCTTCTGGTAATCGTGGTGTGGAGATGCTGGGGCACCCACCCCGGACACTGTGCACATTTTAGGAGGACTTCCTTGGGCTGCTGGGAGCTGCCTCTTCTAGAGATATCATGGTGTGTGCCGTAGGCAGAATTCTAAGGGAGACTCCAGCTTCCGGGGTACTAAGCGGCCATGGGGGAGGGGCAGCTGAGCTCAGCACCCCAGGGTCCCATCACTGGTTCCCAGATCTAAAGGGAAGTTCTGAAGGGAGTAGCAGCAGCCAGACTCCACTTTCCAGCTGGGGACTCCCCTTCCCCCGTCTGTGTTCCCTAACCCTGGAGTGTAGAGTGCTGTGTGTGCCAGTGCAGCCCACCGCCCCTCCCCCCATCATCTCGCCTCCCCACCTCCCAGGATGGCCCAGACAATGGTGCTGGGATGTGCCGGGTGTCATTGCTGGAGGCCCAGTCCACAGCCCACTCCTCCGACCCTCCCCAACTATTCCCAGCCACAAGCCCCTTTCTACCCTCACAGTGAGGGGGTTTCTCTTCCCTGCATGGAACCCCAGCTGGTGCAGGTGTATTATGTCAGCTGTAAGGTTTTGTTCAGTTCTAAAAGTCTGTGCTTATATATTTCATATGACAGACAAAAAAAAAAAGAAAGAATCCTAGGCCCAAATGGGGCTGTAGAGGCAATTTGTATTTGATTAGCATTGTACCCAATCAGTCTCTAGCTCAGTCATACACGGGCTTTTCCATGCCTCGGTCTTTGTGTCTTTGAGACTCTTCTCTTGGAAAGAAACAGATGCAGGCTATTACAATGAGTCACAAGGATTCCTGTGTGCCGTAACAAAACGTGGGCACATGCACTTCAATGGAAAATGGGTTGGTTTTTAGAAGAAATGTGAAATGATTTCTCCTCAAATGTCATCTCTTCATTTTAATTCAACACAGTGCTGATGGAGAAGAGATAACACAACTCAAGTGACCCTGACCTTGTAAGTGGCCTCTCAGAGGAGATGGAAACCATCGAGCCTGTGGAAATCTTCAGAAATGCTACTGGCAGAAATGCCCTGGGAGAGGGAATTGGATGGTTCACAACCAGCTTCCAGGAATGAGCTTCCGGAAATCCACATGAGCAAAGCCGTTTTCCATTTTATATCTTTAATAATCCTCTCCTAGGTCACTTCCCCACCACCATCTCCATCCCCATCACTATAACAACCAGCATCCCATAACAAGCACGGGTAGCATTAACAGATTTGATGGGACCCAGAAGCGCACCATTGTGACCTCTGTCCCCAGTTGAGAGATATGTGACCTGGGGTCCAGCCCGCTGAACTCATGATCCCTAGACAAGCCAAGAGGTGCTTCACCACCTTCTATACTCAAAAGGCCTTTTCTGGGTCACAGCCCACACCCCTAACTTCTCAGCCCCAACGATGCTGCTTGAGACCAGAAGGATCTCTTCAACAAGCATCAAAAAATTTGGCAAATAACAAGCAGACATGAAGACTGTAGCATTATGAGTAAAGGAAAACCCCAGTTCTACATAATTGTGCCCCAATCTTGAAAGATGGGGCGTGTCCCTTCATTTGCCTGTAGAGGATAGGATTCCCGAGTTCCTACAGACAACCCTGTGCGTGAAGTCCCGCAGTGCCGATGCCTAGGAAACACTGGGCAAGGAAGAAAAGGAAAGTCAACAGGCGTTTCTGCCTCGAAGATAAAAACCAAATTCCCAGAAGAGACAGAGCCTGGGAATGGAGGGGAGAACCTCAGGGGTTCTCTGTGCACCGCAAAGTGCCCCCATTCAGAGCTCACAGCAAGCGTCTGCCTCTGCGGTCATGTTCGTGGATGTGCTTATTGTTGGAAGGCTGGAGGTTCATCTTCCTGGAGAGGGGGAATGCGAGATTCCAAAGTCACTTAAAGTGAAATGCTCCAAAGAGGCAACTCTACTATTTCAACAGAAGAAGGAATGTGAGCCCAACCAGGAAGGAGGAGTTGAGGTTTCCACTGACCCCACAGCTGGAGGGCAGCTGGGATTCCTCATTCCACCCCCAGGCCCGTTGTCAGCCTCCTTATTCAGCACAGTGGAAAGTAGGAATGAGGCCCTAGTGCCTTCTTGCCACTAATGAACAGCAGGTCTCGGGCGAATCAGCTAAGCTGGATGGGCTCGGTTTCCTCATCTGCAGAAGGAGTGGTTGCGACAGGGCAGGTCTGGCACTGACCCCCTGGAAGCTGGGGCTGTATCAACCGTATTTGCCTCTGCCTGATCTCCAGCCTCTGCTCTTCCCTGGCCCCAGGCTGCAGGCTTCTGACTATCCACCTCTAAACTCAGCCCCACCCAACCCCAGTCAAGGATGGAAGGTGTGTGGTGCGCTCACTGCCCCATTCCCCTACACTTGGTACACGCATAAGGTTGCTACTGGTCTAGCCTACCATTCAAATAATGCTGTTGCAGCAATTTCTGAGGGTCTAAAAGTAAGTGACATTTCTCACCAATCACCAAAGCACAGCAGGCTATAAAGGAAAATACTGCGCCCGTAGGGAACAGACACGGGTTATGCCATTTGTCTAGACCTCACTTCCCTTACTTAGGAAAAAGCCTTTCCCCTACTTTCATCATGTGTTTCAAAAGGGAGCTGCCACCTTCCTTCAGAAGCTTTCAGCACCACCTCCAGGATGGGCACAGGGCACACATGGTCCCAGCTAAGCTCCTCCCCAGGGTTTCCAGTTCGCGCCTACAGACAGACAGTCTCAGCACTTCTTTGATGTGATCCCAGGAGCTGCCATGTTTGCAGCCATGTGAAGGAAGCCAGCTGGAGAGAAGGAAACAGAAGGAGAGAAGGAACGCACCATCACTTTCCAGCTTCCGCACATCCTAAGACCAAGCCCACCCATAGTTTGGTCCCACTCCACCCATCTCAACTCTCCCTTTGGTTATGTGAGCCCAAAACTATTCTTTTTATACACTAATTTGAGCTAGGTTTCTGAAATTTGCACCCTAAAGAGTCCTGCCTGATGCCTTAATAAAAATCATTCACAGGGCAACTTTCTACTCTAAGTCCTAGGCTAGCAGGTCAGTCAAGCTGTTGCAATAAATATCACTCTAATTCCATGATTACTTCTGTTGTTGTAAAAAATGTACCGTGTCTTGATTTTCCTTAAAACCATTTTTCTAATCAAACATACAGGAAATAAAGTCTTTGTCACTGAGTGGCACGCGGACTCAAAGCCTGAAATGGAAACTTAGACATTCAATGTGTTCACTAAAGCATATCCACCTGACAAGACATGGCAGGAGCAGGGTGCAGGGTGAGGAGGTGGTGTTGGGTCCCAAAGCCAGCCTCTGACTTTAAGGCTTGGAAAACACCTTGTAACAATACACATTCTTGCAAAGAAATGCCAAACAAGAGGAATTTTATATT